TGGTCAAAACATGGAATGCCCTTCCCGCAGATGTTGTTATGTTACCATTTATACAAAGTTTTAAAAAGAACCTTGACAAATTTATGTTCCGAAATGACAAAAGGCCGATGAGATATCGAGCTCACTCCCTGTAAATCGTTCCCATTTTGTGCTACCATTATGGTCTTGTTTGAACTATTTCAGCCCAGAACATTTTTCTGTATACCACGTATTTTTTACTTCGCAAATAGGGTACTTAAAAGCTAACGTCTATTTCCCTCATTAAAGTGAACAGAACTGATCTAGATGGAGATGGGATTTAGCAAATGGAGAATGGGAGGGGATGGATACCGAAGAAATACGAACCCGTATTCGGACTCTACTGGAGTTCGAAGAATATGACATCATCGGCTTCGATTCGCAGTCCATCTTTCGTTTCGATTCGCAGTCCATCTTCCGCGGCCTTGAGTGCGATTGGCGTCCAAGTGGTTACTAGGATGACTTATATCTTTTGCGATAAAACCGTATCCGGACGTGGGTGCCTTACAACGAGGCATCGCATCTTTTTTGTATTACTACTTAACGAAAAATATAATATTTAACTGTACAAAATTCCATTTATGCGATAGGTAGGTCAAACTGTACTAAAAACAAAAAACATCACTTGCTCAATCAGCAGTATTTGCAACAAAAGAAGCACAGTTTATGCAAAAAGGGTAATTCAGTAAAATGTAGAAGAAGCCAATATTCGAGATCGTTCAGGCGTTCTAAGTTATGGGCTACTGTAACAAACGAAGACACGATCAAACATTATTCCTTATTTGAATCTGTACTTAATGCAGTGGCGTTTTACCATTACTAGGAATCGAATCGTCGCGATATCTGATGGATGAATACGAAGCCTTGAGCCCCAAATTCATTCCTCACATCGTCGTTTAATAAACGTTATTTACTTGTCGTCTGAGCATTCTGTTTTCATCATGGCGTGTTTAGACACTGAACGTGATGACATGCTGATCTTCTTAGAAGAAACAACTTCGTCGCGGGCCAGGGCTTAAGATCTGAGACTGAGTATGAATGAAGACATACCTCTGCATCTCTTTTCGGACTATTTCGGCTTCAAGACCACTTTGCATTTGTTTTCTCTGCAAAAGACATCAGAACAGTGCACACAGATATAATTTTCGCACTTCTGAAATATTTTCCCCGAAGTGCTTCTGAAAGCTGAGTCAAGCACAATTAGTCGATTGATGCATTTAAATCGAGAACTAACCAACTTGTGCGCCAACGAAAACGACAAAATCCCTAAAGGTCCAGAGTTATTCTGTGCCTCCGAGACTTAAAAACGGCCGAATCTCTTCTGCATTCCTTCATACACATCGTATAATTTTAAGTTACTCAGAACAAGCATGGTCACTGTTCACTGTCTGAGTAACAAATTCCAAATCCGATCTATTCGTTAGTCTTGTCAGATAAAATATATCCGAGCATCTTGCGCAGCGTTTATGGACTCCCAGAAATTAAACAGCATTAACAAGACCTGCACCGGACATCCCTTAAAAGGGAAGATCTCAGGAATACCTTCATTTGTAGGATTTACTCTCGGTCCTCCTCACAAATCTCAAAAAATGGGGAAGGAGGTGGGTACATTGGAAAATAAAATGACAAATTTGAAAATATCAGCTCGCTGTTAACTTGGCGAGACAACATCGATCGTACCAGAAATTCTAAGGAAACACCGGAAGAATATATTACTTATTCAAGCACAGCTAGCTTAGCGACAACAGATATCGCGTCTACAGGGTTCAGTACAACAGTGTTACTTTTCGCTCGAAGGCAGATCTAAAGAGTTCATGTGCCTTGTCATTGTTTCTGCGTTTAGATAGCATCGGAAACGGTCTGGGTACATAGCCAATTGCTTTATCGTTTATAGATGCTTTACCAAATGGGGATGTCGAAAATTGTGCGGAATCCATAGGACCACAGAGGAAGAAGTCGAAGAAGGGTAAGAAATTTATATCAAAGAGAAGGTCCTGCTCGCATCAAAACTTATTCTCGGAAGATGTTCGAACGAAATCCGATACCGATAATACCGAAGTCGCTGAAGAACAAAGCACCGAAGTCCATGGGATGTATTAACCATTATTTTAGAAGACGGCATTAATGCTGAAACAAATAACATAGTCCACTAGAATATAGTTATTTATGGTGTCGAGCCTTCATCAGCAAACAAGAGTACCACGTTATCAAATAGATATCTTGGTCGTTGAGTGTTTGGGTAAATGCCGACATGACCTCCATTCTCACTCCAGGATATTCGGATGCTGTCCTTAGTGATGGAGAATATGTAACCGTGAATATAACTTTCGATCTATGAAACGCAGGTGCATCGTACGAGTTGTCACTAGTAAGGCCTCTTACAATCATTCCTAAAGATCAAGTTCAGGTCTGACATCTCCTAGAAGGGAGAATGGCTCTTCGCAACTCACATATGAAAACGTTTTTCAGCCCGATAAAGGACCTATGAGAAGACACAAAATTATTACGCTCTGATCAGAACTAAAGCGGCGGAAAGAAAAGGGGGAAATAACCAAAAAGAAAGATCGTACAGATAAAGTGGCCATTCGTATGGCAGACGTCTTGCATTACCAGGGTTAGCCCCCACCGGGAAGACAGGTTATTAATGTAATGTGCCCAAATGTACAGAGCCTGTTTAACACAATAAAGAAAATCAAGAATTTGAGTGACAAGCTCTCACTTGATGAACAAATAAATTATTTTATTGGAAGACCACTTGAGGTACCGTCACAATAATTTAATATAGATTCTATAGTAAATTCTACAGCGAGTACACAGATTCTTTACATTATGCATTTTTTGGCTGTAGAGCAGTTTGCGCCTGGCTCACACTTACCGCTAACTTTTAACTTTTCGTTTTTGCTGATGTAATTGATGACTTTATGTCTGTTTATCGATATAAATAGGGAGCTCAAGGGCGAAAGCCTCATTCCCTTAATAAACTGACTTAAACTGACTTAAAAACGGCCAGCGAACAGATGTCATCACCTTGACAGAAAGGCGACTTTCTGACGCTACTGAAGAATATGAGGCATCCACCAGAGGCTGTCAGCTGTTCAGAAGAGACAGGAATATCTGAGAAGGAGGGGTCGTTGTTTATGTTAACTGCAGTTTAGCTGCAGTCCCCAAGCAACATCTCACGACGGCGTAAGAGTAATCTTATTTTTACCCACCAGTAAATTCATCCGGATACTTGAACTTGTGGTTCCATACCATTACGCAAATAATATTGTCGAACGCGATCCCCCCCTCCCAACAATACTGCACATGATCCGTTGGAATAAGGATGAACTCATCATTGGAAACTTTAACGCTCCCAATATCGACTGGCAAGCTAGGACTATTTTCTGTCCACCGGCCACATTTTATCATCATTTGCTAGAGATGACAGCGGAAAATTACCCTTCAAAAATTTGCCATTCGGAGTACGTGTTTGGAAAGGAAAGCGCTCATTCTACCTGGACCTGTTGTTCGCCTAAGTTAAAGAGTGTGCTTGATCTACAAGACCTCCCACCAATGGGTGTGTGATTGTGTTGTGATATTTCTCCAGAGTCTCATGTCTTGCAGGCGCCACTCACCCAAACAATTAAAAACAAACTACTGGAAGGGCCGTAAATTTCGATGGGGTGGTTTTGGGCGGAACGAAATGGAAAAACAAACGAGGTCGTTAATGCAGGCCTCTGACCCAACAGAAATATAGGGGAAGAAATGAAAACGGACAGAGAGGAACCTGGGCTTCGTATTTCCCTAATTTCAGCATGTCTGCAGCCTGCAGAGCCCGTTCGCGCAAAAAGAAAACAGGAATCGACGGTATTTAAAAATCTGTAAACAGTAATCTGATGACGTCACCCACACTCATGACAGTTCGACCATCTGTTTCGGTTATGTCTACCGTGTGCCCCACAGTTGCAGCAACAATGGGAGCAGGAACGGTGACTTACGCAGGGGTTTATAGTGCCGGTAGACTTGCGTAGCATCTACGTACACTCTCTGCTCCTCCCTCGTCCGAGCCCGGTGTCAAGACAGAGTCAAGAAGACCGGAGACGAGGGAGGCCGCAGGTGGATAGCTCGGACGGGTCCTCACCTTGGCGTTCCACCACACCCCCTGGTCCACACAACAAATAACCAGGATTCCAACCAACGCGACAGAGATTTGGAGGCTGGCACGGCCGAACCCGCACCTGGGCGTGCCGCCAACGCCTGGCTCGGATCCCGCACTGTGGTGGGAGTGCCATAAAGGCCACATTAAAAAGGAGCCATTGCAGCCTGACTCTCAGACCGCCTCCGGTCAAGGAGGAGGTCCAAGTTACCCCGTCAGTTGGCATCCTTCCAAGCCACGGCTTTTAGCGCACCGTGATAGCTTCAAGCGCGTCAGATTGTTTATAGTGAGGAGAAAGGGCGCTGAGTCGTCGACCTCACTCTCCCTTCCCACTCCCACACCCCAGCCGCTGTCCGAGCCGGTTAGCAGACTGGAGTGGGGAATGGGCGCGGTGGCTGTCGTGGTCGACTGACCATGACTGCGCGCGCCACGGCACGACCTGGCCCCCATACACACAACGCCAGGATTTCACACAACGGGGGTTGAACGGCGTGTCTCTCACTTGCGTCAGAGTGCCGTGGGAGGTGCTGTTTCAGCCCTTTCCCAGCCCACCAGTTCGCCACTCCATGCAACACACACACAACGCGACGAACTGCGTGAACCGAGAGCGGGCGTCAATCAGCAACCTTCCTATCCACGACGCTTGACGTGTCGGGATAGTCTCGGACTCAAGTCACCCGTGCAGCCGAAGCCGCATGGGGACCGAGTCGAGATGTGGACTTCCCACTTGCGTGGGAGGTGGCAGTTGGGTGCATGAGGCGTGTGAGTGTTGATTTCTGGTGGGGTGATGGTGGTGGTGGAGGAGGTAGGGAGTGAGTGAATGTGTGGTGTGGCCGACGGTTGTCTACCGCAGGTCGTCGTGGATGCGCATGTGGCCGAATAGGCCCGTGCGATGCCTGAAAGTGCGAGGACAGTGTGGGCAGTTGGGACGAGCTTGGTGGGTATAGGTGGGTGCTCCAGGCACTGGTTCGCCAGTCTCTGTGCGATGGATTCGCAAGTGACCGACCAGAACGATGCGTGCGGTGAATGTGCGTGGACAATTTGGGCATGAGAAGTCGGCGGTGTCAGTGTCAGCTACAGAGGAGGCGGTGGTGGTGGCGTGGACGGATGGAACGAGAGTGGGGGTGTGCACGGTGGATGTGTTGGATGTGGCGGGAGTGCGGTCAATTCCGCTCTCGTGGATGCGCATGTGGCCGAAAAGGCCCATGCGATGCCTGAAGGTGCGAGGGCAGTGTGGGCAGTGGAGGCGAGTGCGGTGGGTGTAGGTTGGTGCTTCACGCACTGGTTCGCCAGTCTCTGTGCGATGGATTCGCAAGTGACCGACCAGGCCGATGTGTGAGTTGAAGGTACGGTCGCAGTGAGGGCAGGTGTAGTCCTGATCCTCATCCCTGGAGTCGGGGGACGTGGTGGTAATGTAGGTTGCTGTGCGCGGGACAGTGGCCTGAGCGGCCGCCGTTGGAGCAGTGGGCGAGGAGGAAGTGGAGGAGGAGGAGGAGGAGGAGGAGGAGGAGGAGGAGGAGGAGGAGGAGGAGGATGATGAAAGTGGTGAGTCAGAAGAATTGTCAGGGTTAGTTGGCGGCGGAGATGAAAAGGGAGAGGCAGGCGGGTGGACGATGGTTGGTGCAGTTCGAGAGGCGCAGTTAATCCGAAGATGTCCAACAAGTCCGATTCGAGCCCGGAATATCCGTTGACACCGAGGACACGTTGGAAGCGGTTGTGCGGCGGCGTTGCTTACTGGGCGAAGTTGTGATTTGCGGGCTTCGCGGTTGGCTTCGTAGATCGCAGCGCCTGTCTTTACTGTCCTCCTCCAGGTCGGTCGATCGAGTGCGAGCTCCTCCCAGTCGGTGGGGTTGATTTGCAGGCATTTCAGGGAGGACTTCAGGGTATCCTTGTAACGACGAATCTGGCCTCCTTGACGGCGAGAACCCGTCGCGACGTCTCCGTATAAGAGTCGTTTGGGTAGTCGCTCGTCGTCCATGCGCACCAGGTGGCCGCTCCAGCGCAGCTGCATTTGCCTCAGTATGGCGCAGATGCTGAGGATTCCCGTCCGTTCCAGCAAATCAGTGTCGGGGATTCGATCCTGCCAGTTCAGCCTCAGGATGCGACGAAGACAACTGAGGTGGAAGTGGTTCAGATGACGTGCCTGCTTTGCGTACACCGTCCAAGTCTCCGCTCCATACAGTAGCGTCGGCAAGATGACGGCCTTGTACATCTTCAGCTTCGTGCTCAGTTGAAGACCGTGGCGATTCCAAACTGTGCTTTGGAGGCGACCGAAGGCTTGACTGGCTTTCGAGATCCTGTTGGCGACTTCGTCGTCGATCTTGGTGTTGCGGGAGAGGGTACTGCCCAGGTACGGGAAGTTCTCCACCACTTGCAGGTGGGTCCCATTCACGCTGATTTGCGGCGGCGCGTTGGGGGCTGTGGCTGATTTGGGTGGCGGTTGGTGCATCACCACCGTCTTCTGCGTGTAAATGACCAGACCGAAGTTCTCGCAGGCGGCGGAGAACAGGTCCATGCTCCGTTGCATCTCGTCTTCCGAGGTGGTGTTTAGGGCGCAGTCGTCGGCGAAGGAGTTCGTGAACGGTGGTTGTGGATACGCGCGATTGGAAGTGCATCCGCCGTTGATTCAGCAGATGACCGTCCGTCCTGTAGGCGATGCGGATCCCGGGGCGTTCGTCGCGGTAGGCGTCCATCAGCATGGCAGAGAACATAAGACTGAAGAGGGTAGGCGCCAGTACGCAGCCCTGCTTCACTCCATTGGTCACTGCGAATGCATCTGAGACAGCTCCGTTGTCCGTGACTCGCGTCATTATACCGTCGTGCAGCTGGCACACCATCTGAGTGAATCGTTCCGGACAGCCGAATTTCTGCACGATCTTCCACAGTGCTTCACGATTCACCGTGTCGAAGGCTTTCGTCAGGTCCACGAAGGTAGAGTGCAGGTGAGTCCGCATCTCCTGACACTTCTCCTGAAGTTGGCGGGCGGCGAAGATCATATCCGTGGTCCCACGATGACGACGGAAGCCGCATTGGCTTTCCGGCAGAAGGCCCTGTTCCAGATGGTTATTGAGGCGGTTGAGGAGGATTCGTGCGAAGATCTTCCCGGCGATGTTCAGCAGGGAGATGCCGCGGTGATTGTCGCAGACTTGGCGATTCCCTTTGCGCTTGTAGAGATGCACGATGGTTTCGTCTTTGAAATTTTTCGGGACTTCGCCTTGACGCCACATCTCTTGGAAGAGCGCAGGCAGGTGATCCATCAGTTGGGGACCTCCGTGCTTGTAGACCTCAGCAGGGCTTGCGTCCGATCCGGGTGCTTTCCCGCTGGAGAGTTGCTGCACGGCCCTGATAGTCTCCTGGAGAGATGACCGGAGGTCGATGTCCATGTTGGTCTCCACTTGCGGCAAACGCTTGATGGCGGCGTCGGAGATGACGGAGGGGCGGTTGAGGACGCCTCGAAAATGCTCGGCCCATCGCTGCAGGATTTTCGTCTTCTCAGTCAGGAGAGTGTTGCCGTCGGCGCTGAGAAGAGGAGCAGTGCCCTTCGTCGGCGGACGGTAGACAGCTTTGATCGCAGAGAAGAAGTTCTTCCATTTGTTGCGGTCTGCGTACCCTTGGATCTCCTCAGCTTTGCGAGCAGTCCAGGCGTCCTGCATCTCGCGCAGTCGTTGCTGAAGCTGTCGGCGACTGCGATAGAAGGCAGCTTTGGTGGCATCTGTGGGGTGATCTACGTAGGCTTTGTGTAGGCGGTTCTTCTCAGCTAGCAGATTTTTGATGGCGGCGTCGTTGTCGTCGAACCAGTCCTGGTGTTGGCGGGGAGCGCGACCGAGGACGGCGAGCGCCGTCGACTGGACCGTGTCTCGCAGTTGACACCAGCGGTTCTCCACGGAGGACCCACACTCATAAAGAGCCCCATAAGCACGTCCTACGCATGTCCATCAGGAGTGTAGTTTTTTTTACCTCTCGCTCACCATTTTTTTAACGGACTACTAATTCAGAAACTATGAATTGTATTTTGCACAGATTCTGCCTACCTCACCTAAAATTCGCATGCAAATTTATTTTTACTCGCTTTGATGTGACCCCGACGGGTCTTTAATAAAAAATTATTATCGTCTAATGTAACATACCATATGAGCTAGCACAGGCAAGGCGTAAAGGCGTTCATCGGAGATGTATGCAACTTAAGAGCTTCAGACCAGTAAGTCTCACAAGCATCTGTTGCCGACTATTGGAGACAATAATAAAAACGGAGCTGAAGATGCATATTGAACAGGACAACTTGCGTATTGCACATCAAAATGGATTTGCAAACGGTCGATGCCGTCTCAATTATCTCCTCACATCCATGGAAAGCTGGACGAAATAGATAGAACTGGTTTTGTCAGTAGATGCAGTCTACATTGATTATAACAAAGCCTTTGACAAGGTCCAAAACAGACAGCTAATATCTAAACTGCGTAGACTTGGTGTTACCGGCAACTTACTTAAATAGTTACCGGACACTGTACAGTTAGGATAAGTCGGAGTCGGTGGCCATTCACAGTGGGGCTCCGTAGGGTATCGTTCTGAGTCCCATTCTTATTTTAATGTATGTCGACGACTGCCTTGACTGTCTGACCGGTGACAAAGTAAAGCTCGTCGATGACCTGAAGATATGCGTTTCAACAGAGAAACCAGTGTTAGCGTTGGATTTGCAAAATAATTAGGTTCTGATGCAAAAGCAGTATGAGAAGTTGCTTCCTAGCCTCAATTTAGGCAAATGTAAAGTCATCCGGCCGCAGCCTACTTACAAAAAGATGGTGAGTTTTGAATGCCAGCATTTCGTCAGAGGTCGCCAACTCGAGCCAGTAGACGAGTTAAGGATCTTGGTTTGTGGATGGCGCCCACTCTCAAGCTTTTGATCCTTTGAGCAAAAATAGGAAAGAAGATTATGGGTGTCCAGGGAACTATCATGAGATACTTTCTTAACGTTGATGAAAATCTTTTTGGCTAAGTGTTTGTAATATTTTCCCTGCCGGCATTCGAAGATTGTGCTCGGACATATCGCAGCAGAATGAGAAAAGACTATAGTCTTTTGGGGAATTTTTAACGACGAATGAGCAAAATAGGTAGTGGACTGAAGTGGCTACCTTGGGATTAACTACTACAAAGACTTAGAATTTTCCACTCTTATATGGAAAATATAGAGGAATGTGATCTTGGTTTCCTAACTCGTCAAAAGAATAAACTATGCAGCTAAATCGACCGTTTCTGAACCGGCACACGCGCTTTCAATTGGCGGTGAGCATCGAATACTTAAATGAACAAATTGTTCGCCCGATCAACATGCGCAGACACACTCAGAACGACAACAACAGGCTTCTGTTTTGTTTGCACTGGAAAATGATTTTTCTCGCCAACACCGATAAGTCGTAATTAGTCCGAATAAAACCTGCCAACGCCCCTGGCCCAGACTGAATTCCTCCAATCTCCCTATGAGAATTGGCCAACGTATTGTGCGGATGGGTCTCGATGATATTCCACACGCCTATGGAAGAAGGCGGACTGACGGAAGAATGAAAAAGTACATTTTTCTCCCCGATCTATAAAGGAGGGTCCAGAGTGATGCCAGGAAACAATTGTCCCATCAACTCAACCGGTATTTTGCGCAAGGTCATGAAAAGACCCAATTAGTGGCATTTAAAAACGTATCTAGAGCAGAAAAACCTGTAATGTTCCGCCTAGTACGATGTTCGCCGTGGTCACTCAGGTCTTGCGAGCAGATTTACTCGCCTTCTATCAAAGTCACCGCCTTGTGCAACAGCTTCTGCTGGAGTTGCGGGACACCTGGACTGCTCGCAAGGTCGAAAAGATCTAAGGGTATACGGACGGCTACGAACAGAATTAACTCTTCGCCACGAGCAAGACTGTCTACAGTCCCATAGCCAACGGAACAGCTCCTCTTCTCGGCGCCAATGAGATAACCCTATTCATGAAGGAGGTGAAATATCTAAAGGGTTGGCCGAGCACTTCAGAAGCCTCATAAACCGTCCTTTCACTAACCTCGACGCCGCTGCTGGCCGACCGCCTTAAGTGGAGACCAACACTGACCTCGACCTCGACCCGCTCTCCGCTAAACCACCAGGGTCATGTAGCAACTCTCCAGGGATAAGCACCCCGATAGGACGCGATTCCTGCTGAGATTGACATGCACGGTGGCCACCACATTATGAATCATCTGACGGCGCTCTTCCAGGAAAAGTGGCATCAAGGATAAGTCCCGCAGGATTTCAAAGACGCCATAATCGTGCATCTCTATGCACGGAAAGGAAACCATCAGATCTGCGATGACCATGAAGGAATCTCACTGTCTAGCACTGCGGGAAAAATCATCGCTCTATTAATCCTCAATCATCTCAACAGATATCAGGAACGTGGACTTCTGCCAGAAGGCTAATGCGGCTTTGGCCGTTATCGCGGCACCACCAAAATGAACGTTACCGCCCGCAAGCTGCAGGAGTAGTGTCGGATGAGGCGGGTCCATCTCTGCTCTGCTTTCCTGAATGCCGAAGTACTGTGGAAAATCATGCCAAGATTCGGCTGTCCCGAACAATTCACACAGATGGTACGTCATCTGCACGATGGTATGATGGCGCGAGTCACGGACAACGCGGCTGTTTCAGAGGCATTCGAAGTGGCCAACGGAGTGAATCAGGGCTGCATCGTCAGGCCTACACCATTCAGTTTCATGTTCTTTGCCATGCTGATGGGCGCCTTCCTTGACGAACGCCCCCGGATCCGCGTCGCCTACGGAACGGACGGTCTAATCCTTAACCACTAGCGGATGCATTTCCTATCGCATGCATCCGAAACATCCGTCCATGAGCTTCTCTTCGCTAACGACGGCACACTCAACAACACCTTCAAGGCGAGATATGCAAAGAAGCATGGACTTCTTCGCCACCGCCCGCGAAAACCTCAGTGTAATCATCAACATTAATCGCCAACCGATGCTGCCTACGTCGCACCTCA